TAATCCAGAGGAAGACGATAATGCCACTAAGTTGAAGGAGTTTCTGAAGGCAGAAGAGAACCCGTAGACTTTATTGAGAGAAAGGAAAATAAAAGAATAAAATTCAGGAAGACAGAAGTTGGCAATTTGCGTTGCATTTAATTTTTTAAAGATTTTAGGTAGCAAGGAAACAAGAAACAAGAAACTGGAAGAAAGTTTCCACAGGTGAGAAGTGCGAGAAAGGGAACTATTAGAATAGAACCTACGGTTATATCAAGCCAATTCAACATTAAAACTATGAGACTTAGTGCGATCTCAAATGTGGAGAGCTCATTAGAACAGATACCATAAAGATATTTATAGACCCCCCCAAAAAAAAAAAAACAGATCGTCCTAGGTATGAGGATATACTACATTCGCGTCCTGGGTAAGACGATAAACTACATCCACGCCCTGGTGAAGACGATAAACTACATCTGCATCCTGGGTATGACAATAAACTACATCCGCGTCCTGGGTAAGACGATACACTACATCCGAGAGCAAGTTCTCTATTCAGGAGGTTTTAAGAAGCATGAACCACCTCTTAATTGCTGATGTTCTCAGGTCCATCCTGGCCTGATGTGGTAGCACATCTTAGGGTCCCAGCTATGAGCAAATAGTTAACCCCAAACTGGGATCAAAACACTATGAAAGTGTAGAAATAGTACCAGAAATACATTTTTGTATAAAATTATTACCAGCAATGAATTTTTGAAAGAAAAAAATTATTACCAGCAATGAATTTTTGAAAGAAAAAAATTATTACCAGCAATGAATTTTTGAAGGAAAAAAAATTATTACCAGTAATAGATTATTACCAGCAATACATTTAAAAAAATATATATATTACCAGCAATACATTTTTGAAAAAAAATATTACCAGCAATAAAAAATCTCGTTCGTATTAAATAACTTTCATTCTTTATTTCTTTCGACATTTCATCGCTTTTCTTGTTTTCTTTCTTTCTTTTTCATTTATTCTTATATTGCTTTTTCTTTTCTTTCTGTCTTTTTTTCTTTCTTTCATCGCTTTTCTTTCTTTCTTTTTTTTTGCATTCTTTCTTTTTCTCTTTCTTTCTTTCTTTCTTTCTTTCTTTCTTTCTTTGATTTCTTTCTTCATTTATTTATACTTTGCTTTCTTTTCTTTTCGTCTTTTCTTTCATTCTTTACTTATTTCCTTTTCTTTCTTTCTTTCTTTCTTCGCATGTATACTACTGTATCTGGCATTGTAAAATAATGTCTTGGCAATTCGTTTTGCCTTGTTCGAGAGGAAAACAGTAATTGGCAATGTTTATAACTTTATGAAATATAAAATCCAAGATAAAGCTACATTTTTACTTGTTTCATGTTCCCCCTTCTCTTTTTCTCTAGAGCACACACACACACACACACACACACACACACACACACACATATATATATATATGCATGCAAATATATTGTTGAAAATGTTCGATATGTAGGAGGTAAGTGTGGTCAATATTGGGAACAGATTGCCTGCAGATATAAACAAAATGAAGTGTTGAGTTCTGTGTGTCCATACGGTTTTTCTCTCTTCTTCACACACACACACACACACACACACACACACACACACACACACACACACACACACACACACACACACACACACACACACACACACACAAACACACACGTATATGTCTCTCTCTATCCCTCTCTGTCTGTCTCTCTCTTTTATATATATATATATATATATATATATATATATATATATATATATATATATATATATATATCCTGTACCATCTGTATAATTTTTCTATTTTAGGGGTGCTTGTTGAATAAAGCAGGATTTAGATAATCCCTTAGGGTTAAAACGATTTTCAACGAAATGCCACAGGTAAAAGTTTGTATATACATATATATATATATATATATATATATATATATATATATATATATATATATATATATATGTGTGTGTGTGTGTGTGTGTGTGTGTGTGTGTGTGTGTGTGAATATGTGTGTATGTGATGAAGATTTTCGCACAGAAACCTGTGTGTGATTTTGTGAGAATTAAAAATAAAAGACCATGCTTCTTAGGATTGCTGATATTTAAGTCTGGCATAAGGCTGTCATCCATAAACATGTAATAAAAACTATTTTGTTATGTTAATATGCAGAGGAAATATGCTGCTTTCAATATAAATGAATAATGCTTGGGAGCAATTAAAAAGCAAAACTTGCTAACGTGGGTTCGATCCTAATAAGGATCAGATCCTAAGCCTATGAGCCGGGTCTCAGAAATCAACGGCTTTACCAGTGGGCGAAGGAATCTTTGAGTGGAAGGACTTGGTAACTTCAGCATCCACAGTGCTAAAGGAACTGGCAAGCCATTGCACTATTCTGCCTTGAATGCCACTATGAACCACTGACCTAATAGTGACAACAGCAGCAGAAATGCGCTAGCTGAATAAATGATGATGAATTTGGTTAGACCTCAACTAGCAAACATAAGGAATAATGAGTTCATTCAAATATAGTGATTTTCCAAGCGTAGCTTACATGTGGCACAAGGCCGAAAGTAGAGGGCACCCATTGTTATGTACACTATTTATATTATTCGGACTATTGTCCTCATCTTTGTCGCCATATTTATCACAACGTTTCTGCCTTTCAGTATCTGTCTATATTTCTGAGATGAGGTATTATGTACACTATTTACAGTATTCAGATTATTGTCCTCATATTTGTCGCCATATTTATTACAACGTTTCGGCCGTTGTATACTCCGGCCTTCTTCAGGTGACTTGGAATGTCGAACTGAACTCTTTATTTCGCTCACTGGGGTAGACTGTTCTAGTTTCACGTGCCATGTTTAATGGATGTCAGTTATCTCCTGTTAATTTCCCTCTCCAAGTTCTCCACTGACTTAACCAGGTATTGAACTCACACTCCTTGGGTCCTGTCACTGGATCTAACTAACGCTTTGACGACACATAGCACAGTGGATAAAGAGTGTGAGTTCAATACCTGGTTAAGTCAGTGGAGAACTTAGAGAGGGGAATTAACAGGAGATAACTGATAACTGACATCCATTAAACATGGCACGTGTAACTAATTTCGCCGTAGGAAGATAGGACAAAACATTTCAGCTAATTTCGCCGTAGGAAGACAAATACATTTGAGCAAATTACCTGTAAGAAGATAGGATAAATTCATTCGAGTTAATTTAGCTATAGGACGGTAGGACGAATACATTTGACTAAATTTCGGTGTAGGAAGATATGACTCGCCACTGACTGCTTCTGTCTTGGCTTGTGTTGACACTAGGCATATTAGACCAAAAATGGACTACTACTGTCATATCTAGATTGGAGCAACTCAAACCTCATTCAGAGAATTCAAAATCGTTTACGCCATTTTGTGAGGAACTACTTAATTTCGCATGTGCAAAATCTTTCCCAAAGACTGAACTTTTGAACTCTATCACTCCTCTATTGCTATTTCCACAGCTAATGTTCAGATGAGCCTCTTTCTCTAGCTCCTGTAATTCATATATTATAATACCTTTATCTATTCTACATATCCTCATAATTTGCACGTCTTACCTTTTTTTTTATATTCACAGGAAAACCTCATTAAATAGCGCTCTTCCTTTGTAGCTCTTGGGCCTTGTATTGGGTGACCATCCTTGTAAAAAAATAAGTGCTGCTTTTATCAGTTATAATAAAGTGGAGATGCCGGCTAAATAACAACAAGAGAATTAAAACTTGATTTCATAATTGGTATGAATCAGCCCCCAGAGCCTCATCTGATATATGGACCTTACACTCCTTACCTGCAATATGTGAGAGACTGCCCAATCATTTCTGGAATATTTTTTATTTTAAATATTCATCTATTTTAATATATTTTATTGTTATACGTTATTTATATAGGCACAAATATTTAAGTAAATGCTCTGTTTATAATAACAGTATTAACAACATTTATCGGCCTGAAAGTTCGAGAAATTTCATAGAAAATATGCTTCCTCCAAGAGGAATCGAAACTATATCCTACACGAAACCGTCATATAGTATGCCAGGAGGATTCATATTTTCTATGAAATTTCTAGGACATTCATGCCATTAAACGTTGTTAATACTGTTTTTTTATAAATAGAGCATTTACTTAAATATTTGTGTCTATATAAATAACGTGTGAGAATAAAATAGATGCAAATAGTTCTCGGACTTAGTCCATTTCGTAGTGTATCCATCTATCCGACATTCTTGTTTTCATGCTTGCATTACCGAATGCAGGTAGGAAGTCACGTGCATTCGGTGGACATGAGTAATCCGAGATAAATCTTGCGTTTGACTTCCTTTGACAGTCTAGGGCAAAATTTAAGGTTAGTATCTATTTCAGCGTAATACCGTGTAGACTCTAATCAAGTTAAATGTACCGGGAGTTTGTTTTTCGACGTAGTTAATATGAAATTCAATCGCATACAATGTGTTTTAATATGGAGAATATTAACAAAAAATTCACATGCGAAAGAGCTTTTATTTTTTTTTTTTTGTTTAAGGCATTTAAAGTAAGAATTTGTCTTAGTGTTATAAGATTAATGGATTGAGTTCTAAAACCTCCTCGCCACCATATTTTTATTCTTTTCCGCCTTGAAGTCAGAAGCTATGTTCCTCTCTCCAAATTTATGAACAAATCCTACAAATGCATCTTGGGATTTCTTCCTAACAAATAAAAAATACCGCCACATTTTCCTTCTTTCTTGCCTTGAAGTCAGAAGGCCAGGACTACTATATCATTTACTATCCTTAATTTCGGAACTTTTTGCTTTATATATACAGGGTGGGGCAGAGCCACTTGCTTATTTAAATTTGGCGCCCTAAAGCGATGGTTGCTCCAAGGATGGTAGGGATGGACTTATTTGAGAGGGTGGGGCTTAAAGTTTGGTTCTTAACGTGCGTTATTTATTTTTTGTTTATTTTTCAGGAACCCCAGTGAGCATCATGGAGTGGACGAAGTTAGAACACGCTTTCGCTGTTGAGGCATTTTTTTCAAGCGGTCACTCAATCGTCGCAACGCAACGTGAATTCCGCAGACATTTCAATATTGCCCCACCCCTGGTCGTGTTCCTGGCCGGCAGTCGATTGTTTCATGGGTAAACAACTTCAGGGAAACGGGTGATGTAAAGAAAAAGAAACCTGGCCTCCTACGAACAGCAAGGTCACCCCAAAACATTGACTCAGTGTATAGAGAAGAATGGACGCCATCTTACTGATATCATCTTTAAAACTGGTAAAAAATAAAATTTAAATGTTGAACTACTTGCATTTCAAAGAATTACATGTATACCTGCATTACTTGTGTTTTAATTGATATTCCAAATAAGTAAGTTGCTCTGCCCCACCCTGTACATTTATATATACTGGACTTTCCCGTCGCTTCTCAACGCATGAGGGTTAAGCAACACAGTTCCTAGGAACTGACAGCCATACTCCAGCATATATGATTTCATTATAGTTCTGAAGTTTTTGTGCAGAACCAACCACACTTACACACTTATTGAAGGGCCGATTACAGACACCTGATGCACTACGTGCCACAAGGTCTCCAAACGACCCTACGCAGGTTTTGACTTCAGAGTTGACCTTCCCCTAGAATAGTTGCCATCTATAGACTATAGAACCCAGTATGTACTCCTATTTACCCAAAGCTGGGGTGGGGGGCGAAGAAGATGATTCATACCTTTCTCAAGGTTATTAGCAGGTGTATTAGTGAATGTAATCGATCCAACTGGAATTCGAACTCGGCTCTCCGATTCCCCAATCCAAGCTGCTATCCATTACTCCACCGAGCCTCCTCATAACACACACACACACACACACACACACACACACACACACACACACACACACACACACACATACATATGTATGTGTGTATTTGGGAAGCAATCCTTTTATACAAGTTTCATTAGAGACAGCTGACAAGGTACTATGGTTAAGCTTTTTTATTCAATTTTTGCGTCCGTTTGTCGTTTTAAAACTCCTTGATAAGGCCTGAAAAAGAAGAACCAAAATCGCTTTGATATACAGACAATTCAGTCAATTTTACACACTTTATGACCAAAAAAAGCAATTACATATACAGACCCCCAAAATTGTATAAAATACTTAACCCTTGTTAGTCATCTTTAATGAAACACACACACACACACACACACACACACACACACACACACACATATATATATATATATATATATATATATATATGGAGTAGACTTTAAGCAAGTTAAATGTATCGTGAGTTTGTTTTTCGACGTAGTTAATATGAAATTCGATCAGATTGCATATATATATATATATATATATATATATATATATATTAAACATACGAACAAAAACACCCTACTCACTACAAAGAAGGATTCTTTTTTCGATGCGGCATCATTTGAATGAGAATGTATATTTGTAGTGTGCACGTTGTTTTGTCCATATTTAAAAATTATAATAAATAATTACTGCCCTACTCTTGGTATTGAATCCTCATTTGAATTAATGCTGTGAACGTTAGAATTTATATTATTTTCGTTCTCAGTATATTCGATATATATATATATATATATATATATATATATATATATATATATATATATATATATATATATATAGTTAAGTTATGAAGAACTTGGTAATCTGTATGGGTAATCCCAAGGATATATATATATATATAGTTTTAAGGCGTGCTGTATTTATGTGTAAAAGTGCTCAAAATCAGAGATAGAGCGTATATAATTAAAAAGTGGACACTGAGATCATTACCAAGCAGCGACAGTTTGTTTTATGTTTGCGCGCAATCTTCAGGCCATGCGGGTTATGTTTTAAACTGGAAGGTGCTGTAAGCTTGGCTGCGTGTAATGGATAAAGGCTCAGAATTGAAAGCCAGAGAGTCGAGCTGCAATTTCAGTCAGTTTCATTATATTGACCCTTCTCTCAAATATCCTTGGGTTATGTATGAATCCACCTCTATCTCTCAGTTGTGGGGTATCATCTCAAAATATTTCTTACAATCCAAAACTATTTGCTGGCTTTAATTAGACTGTAACAAACAAATCAATCAATCAACTAACTCTTTCTTCCAGCTTAGAGAAATATTTCCATCATAAAATCATTATAATGCTTTTATAATGTACCTAAAATAGCCCTCTTCTATCAAAAATACCAGTTTAAATTTTTGAGCATTAACAAAGTCTTTCTTCTTGCTTCGAGATACATTTCTGTCATAAAATCGTTATAATGCTTTTAAATTATACATAAATAACCTTATTCTATCAATAACGCTGATAATCACTTTCTCTTCAAAGTATATATATATATATATAAAGACATTTTTTTGTTTATCCATTCTTTTTATAGATACAAATATTTAAGTAAATGCTCTTTTTATAATAAACAGTATTAATAAAATTTACCGGCCTGAATGTCCAAGAAATTTTCATAGAAAATATGCTTCCTCCGACAGGAATCGAATCTGCATCCTATACGGAACAGTCATACAGCCTGACGTGCTTTTACCGATTGGACCATAGAGGATCATTCGGTTGGTAGAGTCGATTTTACTGCTTTTACACTACAATCTTCCATGATTCTCTCAGGTACATTCATATCTTCTCAATGTGTATCCAAATGTAAACAAATAACAATTATTCTAAGACATTTTTATGTCTTAAAATTCAGGCCGGTAAATGTTATTAATATTGTTTATTATAAACCCACTTCAGACCACAATTATGTTGTTGTTTTTGAAATTCAATTTGTCAGTGTGCTACCAGGGATGTAAAAGAGGATACATTTATAAAGCAATTGTTAAGTTTGATGAAAATTGGTTGAAAGTTCAATGAAAGAAACCAGTAAAAATCGCCATTTTTTGCTATTTACGTGGGTTTTCAAGATATGGATGGGCTCAATTATCAAGTTAAATGACTGTTAAACAATCAGTTTAGTTTGGCTACAACTGACCGAAGTTTGTATCAGGTTGCTTGAAAATTAAGGGAGATTTTAGTTTAAAATTTGTGTTGAAATCGATTTGTGTTGAAATCGGATTTTTGTTTCACGCGGTTTTTCGCTAAACGAAGTAGGTTAGAAAAAATGAGGTATTGTTCAGTTCGTCATGATGTAAGTAACCTACATACCGACTTTGAACAAAATCAGAAGAAGAAAGTTGAATTTATCGATTTTTTATCGGCTCTTTCGATTATTAATTTTTAAAAAAAATTATTGATTTTTTTGCGCAAAAAAACTATCTCTTACGTTGTAGAATGTATGTGCCAAGTTTGGTCAAAATCTGTTGGATGGATCTCGAGTGAAAAGGTATCACACAGACAGACATCATCTGTTTTATATAGAGATAAATGTCTCCCGTTTTACATTACTCGGACTATTGTCCTCATCTTTGTTGCCATATTTATCACAACGTTTGGGCCGTTGTACTCTCCGGCCTTCTTCAAATGGTTGGAATGGCGAACTGGACCCTTTATTTCGTTCACTGGGGTAGACTGTTCTAGTTCCACGTGCCATGTTTAATGGATGTCAGTTGTCAGTTATCTCCTGTTAATTCCCCTCTCCACTGCCTTAATCGGGTATTGAACTCACACTCTTTGGGTTCTGTCACTGGATCTAACCAAACGAGATAACTGACATCCACTAGGCATGGCACGTGGAACTAGAATAGTCTACCCCAGTGAACGAAATAAATGGTTCAGTTTACTATTGTTCTCATTTTTGTTGCCATATTTATCACAACGTTTCGGCCGTTGTACGCTCCGGCCTTCTTCGGGTGGTTGGAATGTCAAACTGAACCGTTTAGGACCCATGACACAGTGGATAAAGGTGTTGGTTAGATCCAGTGACAGGACCCAATGAGTTGTGAATTCAATAGCTGGTTAAGGCAGTGGAGAACTTGGAGAGGTGTATTAACAGGAGATAACTGATAACTGACATCTCTTAGACATGGCACGTGGAACTAGAATAGTCTACCTCAGCAAATGAAATAAAGGGTTCAGTTCGATATTCCAACCACCTGAAGGTGCAATAGTGTACATAATAACTCATCTCAGAAATATAGTCTCACTTTGTTTTGGTGAATATCTGCTGTATTTTACTAACTAAAACAAGAGTCAAGCAAGGCCCATCGTAATACAATAATTTCATTATGAAACCAAATATGAACTGTTAATTATATGTCGATAGCATTTCTTTTTATGTACTTTAGCCATTCCTGACTTGAAGGATCATGGCTATCGACATCTGTAAGTAGTATTTGTCCGATTTCTATCTCTTTCAGTTCGACCATTCGTCAACATGAACTCGTTAAATAGGTACGTCGATCTTTCTCTCTTGCCTTCAATGTTTTGTGAGAGGCAAATTGTGCAAAGATGTTTTCTTCATTACGTTTCTCAGAATTTTCCAAACAAGCAGCAGCAGCTTGTGAGCTGAAAAATGCACTGAAAACGAGAAGAGTCACCAAGGCTCTGTGGGTAGAGTTTCGTTATAAGGACAGCAAATGTCCATCAGTGGCATGGCGATAAACTACACCCAGCAGGAAGGCCTCTGATTGGGAGATTGGAGCTTTTGAGAAACACGGTAGCACCACTTAATTGTTGTTGTATCCAGGTCCAATTTGACCCGGGGTGGTAGCGCCTATTAGGGTTCCAGCTATATGCAAATAGTAAACCCTCAAGCAAAACATTATGAAAATAGATTTTTTATAGTAAAAAGAACAGCTAGACATTATTATATATATATATATATATATATATATATATATATATATATATATAAAATGACCAACAATACATTTTATCTGTAGTTGAAGCCATAAAATGCGTTCAAAATGTTTAAATTTCGGCATTAAATAACTGTTATACCATAATACCTATTCTATTGTAATAGACTCTCCCACAGATAATAAGTAGTAGTAGCAGTGGTCAGTGGGGCTCAGTGGTATTGAGCGAGTCAGTTGATGTCGGACATTAAAGTATCAACCATCACAACTAGATTGCTGCGTCATTAATTATTATTGCAAGTTTCTAACGTTTTGTACGTCGAACCTAATTTAAGACGACTTATTGAAATACAAGCCTCCACTGTGAAATAACAATAACCCATAGAGGTGTTGATATATCACTAAACAAAATCGACCAAACCAACCATAAATTTCAGATTTTTATTTCTATTTGCATTTTTCTTAAAGCTTTCTTCTTGATCCGATTTTTCGTCCATCTAAATTCTCAGCATTCTTCTGTAGATCCACCACTCACTTGCTTCAAATCTACTATTCATCTGTTAAGAAATTGATATGTCCCGGTAAGGGATATATTTGTTCGAAGTAGCAAAGTGATTTTGGACTACTGTAAACGAGTAGGACAATCTAGCAGGTAACCGTAATGGACTGGTCCTCGTCGTAGTGGTAGGCAATAGGCGTAGGCAATAGGAGTAGCCAATAGACATCCTCCTGTACCTCCACATCAGTCTGTATTTATGGCTGATACAAGCCAATCATATTACTGTGAGGGGGAACCCAGGTGTATGGATATTCATGACATCAGACATTATCCAGGATCCATTGCCATTAAAATATTAAATATTACATACATAGCATGTATGTATATTTAATTTTTTAAGTAATATTCCCTTTATTGTATTATTCTATCTATTTTTTAAATTATTATCTCAGTTTCTGTTGCTGGTATCAGCCATTCTCTTTCAACTCAATCTCCAGTCTTCCTTCAATTTTCCTTACATCTATAAGTTCTTTAAATGATTAATAAATCTTAATTCTTGTTAGTTGTAACCCCTAAATTCTTTTGATGTATTCTTTGGACTTCTTTTGTAGTCTAAACAGGCTTTGATAAAAAATTCCATTAATCAATTTGTTTTTTCAAGTTAATATCTCAATTCTTACGGTCTGTCGAAAAACAACTTTCGACGCAGTCAAAGGTGGGGAAAACCCAGAAGAGAGCAGTGACATCCTGGTAAGGGTTGCAAAAGGAGTCCTCCTCTTGCGATCCGCTCCAACTAGGTCTAGTAACAGAGAAGAAAAAGAAGAAATAATCCTTCAGCACGACAATTAACCAGTCACGCGTCGGCTGGTAGAGAAGATAGGTCTCATGAGAGTACGGAGGACGATTTTTATAAGGAGGCTAACCGATTCCCACAATCCTCCTCCTAACAAGACCATAAATATCAGTTGGTCACTTGCTTCAGTTTAGCTGGATACAATTCCCCCGAGGCTGAAGCAACCCGTCCGCAAGTACCCCCCCTCTCTCTTCCTCTTTCCTTTTCTTCACAAGTCACTGTTTATTTTTTTCTTAATCAATTTCCTTCAGTAGGGTGAAGTTTTGAGATTAAAATTTTAATTATTTTTCATATTACTCAAATTTTTACTGTTTTACCTTTGTTTCAGCCGATGCATTTTCCGGTCTTCTTGCATGAAAATATTACCGGTTTGCCCGACCCTATTATAGACATAGTCTATATATTAGTATAATAGTAATACTACGGACAGGAGGATCAGTATACCTCTAAAAGAATGGCATGACACATTCGCAATTTTATACTGCTATGTCATACGATAAATTATATCCAAATATATATATATCTTTTATACGACACAGAGAAACCATGACATGTATAAATACAACAAGCAGTGTGAACAGGAAAAAAAGCGAGAGTAGCTTACTTGTAATATTTTACTTTTTCTCTTGAACCAAATTTCTTCTGTAGTGTGAAGTTTTGAGATGAAAATTTTAATTAAATTAGTTGAATTAAGGATAGCATTTTAATAAACCATTGCTTGGAGGAAAAGATGAAGAATTTTGCATCCCCCGGATGCAAACCTGTATATTGAGGTTATACACAGAAAAGAAAGTTTTGCAATTCTTGCATAGTAACATGTTTATATTTAATTAAACATTTTGCCTGATGACATTTACTCATTTCACTATCCAGAACGAACAAAGAGAAATAAATTGATGTTAAAATCTAATTCCTTTACCTCAGAGAAATGAGTTAAAAATTGATATTAAAGTTGAATTCTCTTACCTGGGAGCAAAGAGCCTAAAATCGTTTTTAAAATCGAATTTCTTTTTTCTTAATTCACGGGCACACTAGCATTATTCACCGTATCGATATTTTGGCTTGAACTGAGTTGTTCTTTCTTTCTTTCTTTCTTTCTTTTTTCTTTCTTTCTTTCTTATGCCATTCATTATCTATCTATCTATCTATCTCATACAGTTCATTATCTATCTATCTATCTATCTATCTATCTATCTATCTATCTATCTATCTATCTATCTATCTCATACAGTTCATTATCTATCTATCTATCTATCTATCTATCTATCTATCTATCTATCTATCTATCTATCTCGTACAGTCCATTATCTATCTATCTATCTATCTATCTATCTATCTATCTATCTATCTATCTATCTATCTCATACAGTTCACTATCTATCTATCTATCTATCTATCGATCTATCTATCTATCTATCTCGTACAGTCCATTATCTATCTATCTATCTATCTATCTATCTATCTATCTATCTATCTATCTATCTGCAAACATCTTTTACTCCCTTGCCTATTTTATTTTTATTTCTCTTTCTATATCCGTTTCTTTCATTTAAAATAAAAACAATTACCTATTTTCTCGCGATTTCCCACCTTTTCTAACTTATTTCTATTTATTTTTACTACTTTCACCGCCATCTTGTTTCTTTTGGCATTATCCAAAACACTACATCATCTGATTATATTGAAAACGATTTTTAAAAAAATTCAGACATTTTTAATAACTGCATTTTTTATTTGAATACATTAACTCTTCTTTATTCAGTGTGTAAATTTTATTCATTTAAACGCATCTCTTTCTATGTATGTATATTTAATTTGTTAAATAATATTCCCTTTATTGTATTTTTCATTTTTTTTAATTCTTATTTCTTTCGTTATATTTCATTTCCTTTCTGCAACTTCGCTTTTTATGAAAAGCTGAAAAACCCTCATGCATAAAATATCGACATTTCTCAGTGGGCTGTTGAAATCAACCACTTTTCAACTATTAGCATATATATATATATATATATATATATATATATATATATATATATATATATATATATATGTGTGTGTGTGTGTGTGTGTGTGTGTGTGTGTGTGTGCGCACGCGTGTGTTGTGTTATATATATATATATATATATATATATATATATATTTATTGCCCATTTCATAAGACGTTGTCCTTTGCCACATGGCGATATTTCAACACTTGTATTTTATGATTACGGCTTCCTAATTTCACCGCAGTGAAGAAAATCCGATTTTGTCGAGAATACAGAAACATCGAATCAAATGATAGAAAATCATTTTATTATGAAATACTGAGTCAGGGAATTGGTTTTAAAGATTATTTTTCGCTCGATCCATATACACCGGTCTTTCTATATTTCCTCTGAAACAAAGAATTTTCATTATGCCGCAAATTTTCAAATTATTATCTCAATTCTTGTTGTTTATATCCCCCCTTTTTTTTTAATCATTCTTCGATCTTCCTACATAGGCTGAAGTTTTTAGATGAATAACTGCATTATTCTATCTATTTTTCAAATTATTATCTCTCAGTTTTTGTTGCTTGTATCTCCCATTCTCTTTCAACTCAGTCTCCAGTCTTCCTTCAATTTTCCTTACATCTATAAGTTCTTTAAATGATTAATAAATCTTAATTCTTGTTAGTTGTAACCCCAAAATTCTTTTGATGTATTCTTTGGAGTTCCACTATAGTCTAAACAGGTTTTGATAAAAAAATTCCATTAATCAATTTGGTTTTTCAAGTTAATATCTCAATTCTTGCAGTCACTGTTTTTTTCTTGAGCAATTTTCTTCAGTAGTGTGAAGTTTTGAGATGAAAATTTTAATTATTTCTTATATTACTCAAATTTTTAACGTTTTACCTTTGTTTCAGCCGATGCATTTTCCGGTCTTCTTGCATGAAAATATTTCCGGTTTGCACGACCCTATTATAGACATAGTCTATATATTAGTATAATAGTAATACTACGGACAGGAGGATCAGTATACCTCTAAAAGAATGGCATGATACATTCGCAATTTTATACCGCTACAATATATCATAACCATAAATCTCTCTCTCTCTCTCTTTTATCCGACACAGAGAAACCATGACATGTATAAATACAACAAGCAGTGTGAACAGGAAAAAGTGAGAGGAGGTTACTTGTAATATTTTCCGAAGAGAAAACGGTCAGGCTGCTAGTATCCTCTATGACCATTATATAGACTGCCTGGTTTCCATTTGTCGGCACTGCTGCTGCGGGCTTATGATATTTATCTTCCAAGCAGTCTACATTGTGACTGGGGTTTATCTTCGCATAACCTAACGTCACTCGCTGGCCTTCACGTAAATGCTATCAATTCATCGTATTCAAACTGAGATAATCAATCAATGAATTCCTACAAACTATTGTCTTCTTGTTTTTAGTATAGCTGGTATTTATCAATCCACCTACGGGGATCGAATGTGGCACAAGGCCTTTTTAATGTGGGTATCACTGAGCCTGTAGGCCCAGCCAAAAATAAATAACCATCCAAACCCGCCGAGGCGGGCCAGTTCCGTCAACCTCCCCCAACGAAACCCCACCCTTCGGCGGAGCTTCGTCCGGGTTCCTCTCTGCAAGCAGAGAGTTCGACAGACACCCGACCCGGCAGCTCACAAAGCGCAGATACTACACTTTGATCCTAGCCACCGGGCCGAAATTGTTTTTAGTATAGCGTTTCATTCGATAAATACTTTCTTTCGATTCTCTTGAATCCAGTGGTTGATAAAAATCAGTTAGCACTTTTATTTTAACAAGTGAACTTTGCACCTATTATTCTTTTACGATCTTGGTGTTCTGGTTAAAACAGTAACAGAATAGAAATAATAGAAAAACAAAACAGAATGATTTATAAATTCAATTTATTTATATAATTTTTAGTTTGTAATCTGAAATGCAGTGTCTAAAGGAGATCGTGCGGTGTGAACACTCAGTTCAAATATTCCAGACATTGGGTATACGCAATTATTGGTATTTTATTCATGTTTGAATGATGGGATTATACACACCACTATAGATGCATGAATATACCTTTTCCTTAGTCTTAATGCGTTATGAAAATAGACATTGGAGTTTACATAAATATGCAAACACCAAGGCAAATCTATCTATCTATCTATCTATCTATCTATCTATCTATCTATCTATCTATCTATTTATCTATCTATCTATCTCAGTCTGTTTGTATCTATCTACACACACACAAACACACACACAAACACACATATACATCTATAATTATAAGAGGACATTAAAGTCAACATACAGAGCCGACAGTTTGTTTCGTGCTAAACCCAATTGTCAGGGCATGTGATATAAAGCACTTTAAACCATAAATATAGTATACATTAAAACTATATTTTATCATCTCGTTTTTCGATCGAGCACTATAGAGAAAAGGGTAATTTCGAAACAATAGCCGCAGCTATTAACTCAGCACTCTTCATTAATGAATTGAGCCCTCTGGCTCCTGGTGTTTACATACATCCGTATATGAAATATATAATGACGTGCGCCGATAGCCTAGGAGTAAGATCTCTGACTTGTTTCAAATCAGTTGGCTTTCAATCCCGTCTTAAAGCAATCGGATGTCTATCTATATTGAGGATCTGTGATAGAGCGAGACAGGGTTATATGTGGATGACTATATATATATCTATATATATATATATATTCTGGTGAAATAAATTATAGCCATGGAAACTTATGGTTGTCTATTTCTTAATCATTTAATTAATATTTGTTCTGGTTTTACATCGAGATCTCTGGATCCCATCCTCTTTGGAATTATCCACACGGATTACGAAACCCTTCATTACCTTACTATCTATCTATATATCTATCTATCTATATCTATATCTATCTATCTATCTATCTATCTCTCTCTCTCTCTCTCTCTCTCTCTCTATATATATATATATATATATATATATATATATATATATATATATATAACCATTATAAATAGACGCATTTTATTTGTATTTTCAATACTACCACCCATGATTATAATTAAAAGAAAAAAAATTAAGAACAAACTAGTTAACCAGTTTCGAACATCGCTCAGCGGAGTTAAATATTTATCAAAGACAGGAATCAAATCTCAGGGGGATGGGAATTGTACGTCGACTAACAAATTTATGTGTTCCTTTGATATTTTTAGCCTTTTTCACCTTCGGTCTTTTATTGAAACTCTTGATGTATGTGTTGACACCTTATATCGTAAACGGTTGTCCCCTTCTCCTATTTCAGAGGATATTTTTCTCGAACTTATGATAATTGCCACGATGTTGGTTGAATTTAGTTTCGACGGTGTCATGTCAAGGCAAATTGATGGAGTCTGAATGGGTTGCCCTTTGGGTCTCATTTTGGCTAACATATTTGTTGGTTTCCATGAAGAAAGTTTATCATGTGATACTGATAAACCTGATGTTTAATTTCGTTACGTCGATGACACTTTTTGTGTCTTTGATAGAGAAAATGAAGCGGACTTTTTTCTTATGTCTCTTAACAATATCCATTCAACTCTCAAATTTACCCAAGAAAAGGAAATTAATTTTTTCCTTCTCTTTCTTGATTTTTTGGTTCATAGAACTTCTTCAGGTTTTCTCACTTCAGTTTATTAAAAAAAAACAACCTTTACTGGTTTGTATAATCGTTGAGACTCTTTTTGTCCCATAAAACGTAAAATAAATTTAATTAAGACTCTTAATTATAGGGACTTAAAGATGTGTTAGCAAACCAAACTGGATGATGAAAACAGGTTTATTTCTACTCTGCAACAATGTCTATCCTATAGACATGGTCCAATCCGTAATTAAGCGTAAAATTTCGGCGTTAAATAAAGTGAAACCTGCCTTAGTATTGAGATGCCCCATGTATTTATATCTTCCTTGATTAGGTGGTATTAGTGATAGATTTGCTAACCGGGTTTTCATAGCAGATGGATAATGCTACTTTGCTGCTAATACACGTTTAGTTTGCTCTACTAAACCTGTCCTTCCATCCATGAGCAAAGACGTTCTTTCACCCCACCATAATAGTTTCTAGTTTTATTTAGTTAAATGTAGTTGCAGTATACATAGCATAGGAAGAACGACTCAAACGCTAGATGCTAGGATGCCTACAAAAATACTAAACTCTACTTATCCATCATCAGATGTTCTGACCAATACATACGGGTCTTTTATTTCGGAACACTGCAGTTGGGTGGCTAATTCCAGTATGGAGTCATTTTCTATCTTGAGTAGGCCCCACTAAAATTACCACCTTACGATATTGGGTGCCATATATATTTTATTGGCGAAACCTTCGCTATGTAAACAGAACGGTTTCGTCCTTGGCCTCCATTTGATTTCCATCTATTTCCCCTCAGATTTTATTCCTTTTATTGATAATATCTGGATATTTATTCACCTCGATTTAGCTGCGTTGAGCGAGATTCGAAACCTGTTAGCCTGCTTGTTCTTCATTTTCTTTTCTTTTAAATATAATCAGGTGCGGTAGTATTAAAA